GGAGCCCTGCTTCTCGTGGCTTATGGTTCAGAAAGAGGAGGACAGGAAGGACTCTGTGGAGAGGGTGCTGCTCCTCCCACACAGAGCTCAGGAACAGCCGCAGGAAGAGGAGGGGCCAGCTAGGGTGGACGAGAGATGGTGACCCGGGTCTAGCCAGAAAGCATCCTTCTGCCGCCACTTTAACACACGTGCATGGATGGATCTGGGCAAATTGTCCATCTGGTGGAGGTAGAAGTGACACCTGAATTCAGTCACTTTTCCCAGAATAAGGGAATAGGCTGGCCATCGCCTGGGAAGGGTCATGGTCACCAAGGTGTTTTCAGGTTCCTGCTGAGGACATCCTGAGAAGTGAAATGAAGTGTGAGCTCATGCAGGTCAGCAGTTTTAAACGGTGTGTGCTGTAGTCCCAATGATAATAAAGACAAAATCTAGAGAGCTATTTCCCTTTCCTCCTGGACACACGGGAGAGCCACAGTGTCCAGGGGTTGTGACCATGTGGTTTGTGAGTTCTGGACAATGGAATGTGGAGGAGTGACAAACTTGTCCAGATGTGGCCCAGAGAGCTACCTCCCCATTTATCCCTTCTATCATCCGCCACCACATGCAAGAGAGCCAGCAGAGGTCTCAGGTCCTCAGACATCTGGAGTCCCTTCCTGCAAGATCCTGAGTCCCCGAATGACTGCATGGACCAGAGTGGACCCGGAGACGGGGCTGGGTGTGATCTGCTCCAGGTCACAATCATTGTAAACACTTAGTTAAACTTAGACGAAAAAATCTTCAGAGTGGACTACGTTTCACCCGTGTTAGGACATTCATCCCCTGGTGTCAAGGAAAACTAGAGGGAATTGATTCCAATATGCTTTTATTTTACAATTCTCCACAGACGGTGCATCTCCTGCTCTCTCTGCACCCTGGGGAACATTCCGAGTGCCCCGGACCCAGCATTCCTGTGTATATTGTGGGGTTCCCAGTGTCCCGGAAAACTGTTGGATGGAGAAGTAATAATAATAAATCATGATTTCGGGATCCACCGAGGGAGCATGACAATAAGTACGAGGACCAACAGATGCGAGCTGTCAGGTCCACAGCCCACCTGTGCCCGGGCAGCGGGGTGAGCCGCCGAAGGCCAAAGACAGTGGCTGGAGTCGGTGTGTGAAGCACGTGACTTATTGGTGAAAGCTGACACGAGATGGGTGATGGTTCCCAGCAGTGCTCGGAGACGACAGACTGAACAGGTCCCCTCAGTCCCTCAGCAGGCCTCCGCAGGCAGTGCCTCCCCTCCCTGGTGGTGCGGATGCAGGGGTGGCCTGGAGGGCGGGTGGCACGGGTGTGCCCACAGTGCCCCCAGTTCTGCAGCGCCCCGCACGGCACATCGTGGGAATTATCAGGGGGATAGACACATGGTTCTGTCTTCACGAGGGCCCCGCCACCTCCCTGCCCTGCGGTCAGCGTGTCCAGTACCTTTCTACTCTCAAGTACCACCTTCCACCTTTGGGAGGTCTCCCGCTGCCTTCAATAATACAGGGCCAGGGTCTCTCCTGGCCCTGTATTATTGAAGGCAGCGGGAGTTTCTTAGCTAAGGTCTCGACCTGGAGCTTGATACTTCCAGTTTGAAGAGAAAATAGAGCAATTGGGTAAAGTGCACAGGGAGTTCCAGTTACTCTGTCTCACTGGTCCCAGTGCCCGGTTAGCAGGGGTCATAAACACAGGGAACCTGCAGGCGTGGGTACAAGCTCTCTCCTAATGACATTGGTCAATCCAGTCATGAGGCAGGTGCAGCCATCACTAGGTGCTGCATTTAATTTTTAAGGTTATTGTGAGAAGGATTCCTTCTCAGCAGCTATAGGAAAGCTATTGATTTATGATGTTGGTCTTGTATACTGCTACTTTTCGGAATTCATTAATTAGCTTTAAAGTCTTCTGGTAGAATTTGGGGGTTTTCTAGCTATAGAATCATGTCATCAGCAAACAGTGATAGTTTGTCTTTTTCTTTTTTTATTTGTATCCTTGTATTTCTTTCTCTTGCTTCATACTGGTTTGGTGACATCCTTGTCTGGTCCCCTGTTTTTTTAGAGGAAAAACTTTCTGGTTTCATCCATTCACCCAAAGATGCTGGCTTTGGGTGTGGTGAGCCGTTCCTGCGGACTGTGGTCGCCATTACATGATGGCGCTGGCTCCGCTGTGGTCTGTGAAGGACAACTCCATATCAGAGAGAGTTGGCGTATTGTCAACTCCTTATCAGAGAAAGTTGGCGTGTCGTTTTCTAGCACCCTGTGAGAAGGGTCCACGTGGCAGCTTCGCATTGGGGTTCGCGGTGCTTTATTAAGGCTGGGAGGGGCATCTGAGGAGGATTAGAAGAATTATTAGAAGAATATCAAGGGCCTGAATAAACTGCTGAAAGAAGATTCCTGAGTCGCGTCTTCCTTGCGGGCAAGGGGGTCGTGACATTTGGGTTTGTTGCATGTGGCCTCTAAATGTTGAGTTAATGTCCAGTTTCTCCAGTGTTTTTAGCATACTGGTTGCTGTATTTTATCAAAGGCCTTTTCTGCATCTATTCTCCATTCTCGGATACAAATAAAAAAAGAAAAAGACAAACTATCACTGTTTGCTGATGACATGATTCTATAGCTAGAAAACCCCCAAATTAAATGTCTGGGAACTAATCTAACCAAGGAACTGAAAGAACTCTACAATGAAAATATAGAACACTGAAAAAAGAAATGGAAGAAGACCTCAGAATACGGAAAGACCCCCCATGTTCATAAAGCACAATTGAGTTTTCTTCAGCCACTAAGAAAAATGAAATGATGTCATTTGCAGGAAACAATAAATGATGTGGGTGTGCACTCAAGGATTGTTGGTGGGACTTCAAATTAGTGCAACCACTAGAGAAAGCAGTGTGGAGACTCCTCAAATAACTAATAGAGAAACCAAAATATGACCCAGCTATCCCTCCTCAGTATCTATTCAGAAGAATTAACATCAGTACACTATCATGATACAGCCACTTTATAGCAGCACAATCCAAAATAGACAAATTATGGAATCAACTCACATGCCCATCAACAGATGCATAGATCAAGAGAATGTGATACACACACACACACACACACACACACACACACACACACACACACATAATGGAGTTCTAGTCAGCCATAAAGAAGAATGAAATAATGGCATTTGCTGGTAAATGAATGGAAATGAAGAAAATCATGCTAAGTAAAATAAACCAGACTCATAAAATCAAAAGCCAAATGTTTTCTCTTATATGTGAAATATAGAGCAAAATAAGACAAAAAATGGTGACGGAGGAGGGGATAGGACATCATAAAGATATAGGGTTGATGAGTTGATTAGAAGAAGGTGAATGAGAGGGAGGGAGGAAAAAGGAAAAGGTAGAAATATGAAATAAATTTAAAAATATGTTATATACATATATAAATGCATCAAAAATAATTTCACCTGCATATGTATGTGGAAATACCAATAAAAATAAATAAATAAAGGAATGTAAGGAATAGAAGGAAGGAGAGAGAGTAAGGGGAGGGAGGAGGGAAGGGAAAGAGGGAGTAAAAATAAAATTCTTTTTAAATAAAATTTTAAAAGTAAAAGTAAAATAAAATTCCTTGCCTGTATTATTTTGTCAGAATGAGCCCAAATTCTATGCATTCTTTAAATAAAATAAAAATAAATTATTCAATAACATCATTTTTATTCATTCTAAAAAATGAAATGGAGGACTTTGGGTCTTAGAGATGTTGACTGTAGAATGTGAATTGTCATCCTGACTAGGGTGAGAGGAAACCTTAATGTACTTTTAGTTTGCATGTCCCTAATCAGTAGAGATAGTGAACATTTTCTCCTATATTTATTGGCAATGATGTGGGAAAAAGACACACTCCTAGATTGTTGATGGTACTTTAAATTAGTGTGACCACTTTGTAAAGCAGCATGGAGACACTTCAGAAAAGCAGGAATGGAGCCAGCACATAACCCGGCTAGCCCACTCCTTGTGGGGATATCCAAAAGATTTAAAATCACCACAGTGTAGGGACATGGCCCCATCCCTATTTACAGCAGCACAATTCACAGGAGCCAATCTAGAGAAGAGATGAATGGCTAAAGAAAATGTGCTATAGGTACACAAAAGATTATTACTCAGCCACAAATAAGAATTAAGTGATGGCATTTGCTGGTAAATGGATGAAATTGGAGACAAACATGAAAAGTGAAATAAACCAGACCCCAAAGGTAAATGTTTTCTCTGATATGCAGAAACTAGAAAAAATAAAAGATAAAAAGCCCAAGAAAAGAAAAGGGGGTGAGAACTTTCTTAAAAATGAGAAAGATCCGTGAAGTAGAGGTCACGTGTTGGACTGAGCAGGAGGAAGGATGGGATAAGGAGAGAGCCGTGGAATAAATCTGACCTCCCTTCTGTAGGGACATCCACGAATATAGCACAGTGGGTCTCCCCATTATGGATATGCACAATGGCACTAATTAAGGAAAAAGTCTAGGTGAACAACAGAAAGATGGGTAGGACTGAGGAATGGAATGGGGGAGGGAGGAAGGGAAGAACAGGGCAAGTACTGGGGATGTGATTAGAGCAAATCT